GGATCAAGCCGGACATGCAGGCTGAGCTCCTCATCGACGTTACAGCAATGCAGTCCGGTATTTAGCCAAATACGAGGCTCAATGTCGTCAAAGTTGCAGTGACATTGACAGAAGTGTCTCCCCTCCCCCGCCGGACCTTGAGCACAATTAAAGCTCCGGCGGGGGGTCAAAACACCATGAGATCTGTACCCATCCGTCCCCCCACTGGAACCCCATATTCTTCAACACGAGCTAGGGCAATAAGCTTTTGGAGACCCTTGGCAGAATATCCCCAGATTCTACCCCACAATCCCCGGTTGATCATCAAGAAACCGGGATTTTCGTAGACAACATGGGACGAAGCGCCTGGGGTTCGTCAGGCGATCAATGTCTGTGGTCTCAGTTGTTTCCCTATAAATGAAGCTCATGCCGCCGATCCTGGCACGTCTCGACAAGCAGTCAGTGTCTTATCCTGGCCTCAGGTACACACAGGCCTCCATTGCATATTTTCCTGCATCATGGCTGCTATTACAGACGACAAGGTAGCTAGGGTCAGCGAAGATGACCATGCCCCGAATTATGATACGGTCAAAGACGCATCCATCGCAAAGCAGGCTGCAGAAGAGGAGCACAACCTCACATTGCTGCAAGCCATTCGGAAATATCCCAAGGCCGTCATGTGGTCGGTCCTTCTCTCTACCTCGATCATCATGGAGGGTTACGATATCGTTCTTATCTCATCCTTCTTCGCCCAACCATCTTTCCGAGAGCACTATGGAAGCTACCAGCCCAAAACCAACTCCTGGCAAATCACAGCTTCCTGGCAGAATGCACTTTCGAACGCCGTGAGCGTTGGGACTATTATTGGCGCGTTTGCCAATGGTTACTTCACTTATAAGTTCGGCTACCGCAAAGTACTTCTTACTTCCCTGGTTGCCATTTGTGGCTGCATCTTTATCTCCTTCTTCTCACCGAGTCTGCCTGTCCTTCTTGTTGGTCAGTTCCTTTGCGGCATTCCATGGGGTGTTTTCGCCACCATGGCTCCTGCATATGCATCAGAGGTCTGCCCCATGGCATTGAGAGGATATTTGACTGTCTATGTCAACCTCTGCTGGGCCATAGGACAATTGATTTCGGCTGGAGTACAAGCAGGCTTCTCGAATACGACCGGGCATTGGTCCTACCGAATCCCGTTCGCAATCCAATGGGCATGGCCTGTCCCTTTATTCATCGTCCTTTTCTTCGCCCCCGAGTCCCCTTGGTACTACGTCCGGATTGGTGATTACGAAAACGCCGAGAAGTCAATCACCCGTCTGAGTTCCTCAACAACTCCTGGTCATGCAAAGCAGGCTCTTGCCATGATGATACATACCAATGAGATTGAAAAGTCCATCGACCAAGGTACTTCGTATCTGGATTGCTTCCGGGGGGTTGACCGACGCAGAACCGAAATTGCCTGCATGGCCTTTGCTGCCCAGCCTTTTTGTGGATCTTCCATGGGTGGTACTCCGACTTTCTTTTTCGTGCAGGCTGGCTTGCCTGAGTCGATTTCTTTCAGAATGTCTGTTGGTGGTCTTGGGATTGCGTCTGTGGGCACAATCATATCATGGTGGCTGCTTCCCCTTGGTCGACGTACATTGTATCTTTGGGGACTTGGCTTGCTCACAGCTGTGCTGATGATTGTTGGATTCATCAGCGTCGGTGCTGGAGACTCCCAGGGAGGAAACTACGCCCAAGCCAGCATGATGCTCATATGGTTGGGCGTGTATTACATGACCGTTGGACCTGTTTGTTACGCAATCATCTCGGAGGTTTCTTCGACCAGACTGAGAAACAAGTCTGTTTGTGTCAGCCGAATTGCCTATTACATCGCTCAGATTATCTGCAATGTGGTCAACCCTTATATGCTCAACCCGACTGCAGGAAACTGGCGTGGTAAAACTGGCTTTTTCTGGGGAGGTTGCTCTTTTGTCTTCTTCATTTGGACATTTCTCCGCCTTCCTGAAACCCAGAACAAGACATTTGAAGAGCTTGATCTTCTGTTTGCTAATAATGTGGCAACCCGGGAGTTTGCCAAGTACAAGGTGGATGCGTATGCTGAGGATGACAACGTCTTGACCGTTCAAGATACCAACCCTCGCTGATCAGTATAATGTTTGAACTTCCTGAGTTGTCCGGTATTCTCAAACAGAGGTCAATCTGAGAGATATCTTGGAAATACTCTGCTTTGTATTTAATCGTTTGGGATATCATTCTTGTCTATAGCACCCCGGTAGACAGCAGACCAATGTCTATTTAGGTTGAATACTTGTTCTACCTCATCCCCTGGCGAATGCTAGATGTGCAGCTCCGTGAGCCAAATTTCAGATATCTATGCTTGCGAGTAAAGGTGACACCAGCGATGAGAGCGAATTGGGGGATACACATTCTTCACGGAATGCTTGTGATATTTGCAAACTGTTTGTATGTATATTGCTTGCCAGCATTTACCGTTCCTCTTCGTGAACTGAAAATTCTGGTAGCTTCTTCCCTGGCTCACATCTCTCTACTCCCTGTTTCTTATTTACTATAAATATCTCCTCTCTGTTCATGATTTTCACATCTTCGTCTTGTTCTTTTGGATTTCACCATCGTTGCCCCCGCTGAAGAGTCGGGATATTTGGGTTTTCGTCAGCTATATTATATTGTCGAACGATAGTCATATAGTATTTGATTCCAGATGCAACGAACAAGGCAGAGATTCTTGTCCAATTATCGGCGGATGTGGAGATTGCGACTCGTCCTGTGCTTTAACTGTAAGGATTCTTCAACATGGGTTAAGTCAATGAATGCTGACGTATAAAAAGAGTTCCACAAGACCTCTCAATGAGTCTGCGACAACAAATCTCTTGGTGTTCCCAGAACCATAGGGCTTTTCTCTGGCTTCAGGCATGGATCTGATACTGTCTGATGCACCTAGGCTAGACAACAACCACACGGAAAACTTTGGCCTAGCTTCCCATGCTTCTTTCCAAGGCCAGTCACCTAAGTTATGTATCAAGCAATTGATGCCCTTGTTCCAGGTGTGATGAGTATGACTTGATATGAGATCCTTGTCTTGAGCTTATGCTAACATCTCGCAACACTCAGAGGATGGATATATCATTGGGCAAGTTGTTTGGCGCCTCTGAAGCGACGATCTCTTGGGAAGATTCGTAGGATTATGTTATGGAGCTGCTCGTCTTGACTTCAGGCAAAATTATCCCCGTGAGGCTGCGACAGATTGTGGCAGATTCCATCATCTCAGGCCCAGCTCTTCAAGGATGCTGGCGGTAATTGAACGACAGCATCGTCTAAGACTACCATGAAGAAGCTCTCTTCTGCAATGATGACCAGCAGTTCAACTATATGTGGCGGCTGTTATCGCCTCTAGTATAAGTTCTTCTCGACATATTGCCAAGTCTGTGTGAGAACAACCTGTGAGACATTGGCGGTTCGACCGGATCTGCCAACTTGAGGAAAGCACCGTGCCACAGATTGTCCATGGGAACATCATATCGCTGCACAACATGTCAGGCACTGGGTCCATGGATCTCCCTGCTGAAATTCAGATCAAGATCATACGGCTGGCGATTCCTCTCAAGAGTATCGACATATACAACACGAGAAACTCAAATATATACATTTATAGTATCAGCTAGGGTAAGACTCCTCTTGAATTCCCATCTAGCTCCTTGATTATTCTGCCGCTAATATTGTACACACAAGGGGGTTCGGCTTCCTGTCCTTTCGAACCTAGTGACAAGGAGTGCACTACTCTGGTCAGATCCAGGAGTAACGAGGAACATTCACATATTCGAAAGCCAAGCTACATTTTAAAAAGTCCCTTGGGTAACAGATGAAATTGGTCGGGAAGGGTGTCCTGCATAAAATCCTCAGCCTGCAGAATATCATCATGCCCGCCCTGTAATTTATTAACCTCCGACCCGACGAACACACTCTGAATGCCAATACATCAGGTTCAATGGTTTAGAAAACCAAAGACGATACAGAATCTACTTATACCTTATATATATGGGCTGCCACTCATGCGAAGCAACAAAAGCGTGGCTGCAGGGGATACTTCCGACGAAGCTCGGATATGTGTCTTCCCTCCCAGGAGGCGATTCGAGCTGGCTGGGAAGAACGATACCCTAGGTGACATCAACAACGAGAAATCTCCGAGCTACCGATCTGCACAATCAAGTCGCCGATATAGCTTATAAGGTGCTAGGTATGGTACGGTATCATATCATAGCGATGTGCAACTTTGTTGAACGACGAGCATGAGTATCTCATCTCAGGCAGCTGCCCACAGCTGGCGGTTGTCAGAACTTTCTTACCTACCAAGTCTTCTATGAACACCTGAATCTCAACGTGATTCACTCGCACTGGGCTGCAGGATTCCGCCCTAAGCATCCTATTTTCCTTTCTCAAGCCTGAAACCCTTTCCTTCTCCTCCACTTCAAATCCGTTGTCCTCTACCACCAATATCCTCATCGCACCGCCGAGTACACGCAAAAGGATGATGCCACGCAAAAGATGTAGGTAATAGGCGATGCAGGTTATTATTTTACGTTAACGTACTTAAGGTCTCCCACCTGGCTCAGGCGTGGGAAGGCGGAAAGCCCACGATCAACCTTCTGATATAAGGAGTGCGAAGGAGGCGAGGAGGTATCGCGCTAAGCTATCGGAGGAAGAGTCAAAGAAGAAAACAAACTTGTATGCCTATCGCAAAGCCATGACTCGTCAACAAAGGGCTTTTGAGAAGCTGCAGGCAACTGAGGCATATCAAAATGCCAACCCATCGCAGAAGGAGAAAATGTCGAAGGGTCATCGCCGACAGCTCGACAGAATCTAACAAAAGTAGTGAGTGTTTGCAGTCACACCGCTGCTTGACATTTATCTAATCTGGTTTCAGCCGTGATGAGGGGAGACACCCAGACCAACAGGGTGATGGGATAACCGGAGCAGACAATTTCGAACTCACCACATCCTCTACAATGGACGGAGATTCGGATCTGGAGACTGATGATGAATGGGAAGATATAATGCCGAAAGTTGAGAAGATTGAAGAACATTTCGCGTATGCGCGGGCGGCCACTTCCCTCCACCACGTACGCCAGCACTTGACCTCACAACTTGAAAGCCTGCTCTTCAAATGCCTCGCCATTCGACGTACTGTCGGAAGTTGCGACAAGCACACCATGTGCCTCCTGAGAATGAGGAATTTGGCGAGATACTTCTCTGCTTACAGGTGAGCCTACTTCAACTTACCATCACGCCCTTCCAAATTGTCCTCCGCTTTGGCGCTGGCAATGACAAGTGCCATCACCGTACTGACGACTTCTAGATACACCCAGTCTCTATCACCCGAAGGATCCAACCTCTTCACCGTTCAAGAGATGGCAACATGGTTCATTTGCGCCTCATCAATCCACAGTCTGCAGAATACATCTTGTGGTGTCCTTGGCACGAACAAGAAAATGAACTACAACGGCCCAAAGGACTTGAAGATCCGGGGACTCGAGATTCTGTATCGAAATCGACATCTCGGTATATCAATCACTTTAGATATATGTGGCTCATTACTGACAATCGTAGCCACACGACTTTGTTTCATCGAAAATGGTCTCGTAAACACGGGATTCGACTACGACCCGATGGCCATCGACGCAGTAGATGGCAACCCGTGGAGTGGGCACCTAGTTTGGCCACCATGGTTCAGAGATATGCTTAGGGGTAGCGCTCAATCCGGTTCTAAAGGGGCCACGGGATCGGAAAAAGTGGGTGAAGGTGAATTCATCAGTCTTCCGGGTCCATCCTGGCTCTGGACTCGTGATAGCCTCAACTACATCGAGCTACTTGGAAAGAAAATGGAGGGCAAAGGCAAGGATCTTGAGGCATTTTTCTCTATCCTTGCGGGGAAGACGACACCACTTCGCCTACATCGAAGAAGAAAGATGCCCTGGGATCGACGATAGATTCGCCATCTCATCCGCAGATAGGACCGATATTCTCTTACCTCCAGATCGGGCGGTAACACAAGGATTTTAACGGGTATTCTAGCTTCATATATGACGGAATGGGCTAAGATATTGGTAAAACGCTAGATTCGCTGGCGTGGAACCTCCTGCCGAATAGGAGGTTCTTAATGTTGACAGACAGTTTGTAGTAGGCACAGGTTATGCCCAGCAGCTGGAAGTCCCCTCCCTGCATGGTTACCGTTGTCGCTTGAGCATCAGCGTATCCTCCCGCGAAGCCGAATATGAACCTTTGTGCAATCTTACTCTCTTTTTAGATCTGAACTGAATCGATCGCGATACTTCGCGTGCTCTGTCACGTTGAAGACAGCTTTATCTTGGTCCTTGATACGGAGGGATGCGAAGAAAAGCTCAAGACTTTCGTCCTAAGACGCAAAGTATTTACATAAGCTTAGGACAGTTTAGTATATCTTAGGATATCTTAGGAAATTTTATGACCAATTTAGGATAAACTTAGATGAGTTTCAGGCTATTTCCTTTTTCACCCCCTGAGTGGTATTCCAAACTCTTCGGGCCCATGAGGGACTTGACTCCCAATAACTGTCCCGATTGACCTTGTAAAGTACAAACGCAGTGTAATGTCTTAAGTGGGTTGTAGAAAATGAATTTCTGGCGGGCTGATCTCAGGAGATGCCAACCCTGACTACGATTCCTTCACTCCGTAACAAGATTCCAAGATGAAGCCCCTCGAGAACACCACCCTCTCCGACACCCATGACCTACTTCAGAACCCTGCCTTCCGACGATTCTGCGTTAACATGTTCGGAAGAATCGTTGGTCTTTCGTTCAACGAGAACAACGGCTGGACTTCTTTTTTCCATCTCCAGCTCCAGGCCATCGTTAACAGTCCCTGTTTGTTTCTAAATCTTCTCTTGCAAGCCTGGGATAAAGCCGTCCGCGAGACTTATTAAGTGGAGTAGAGTACCTCACAGATGGGAAGCAGTATTGAATCCCTTGTGTACTGCTTCGAGAGTAGCGAGTCATCGACCTGGATCTTCACCCCATCATCGACATCGATGATCATCCAGAGTTCGACTAAACTATTCTTAACGCCGAATGCATAGCCTATGCCATGTTTTCTACCCTTGTAGACAGAACTTAAGATAGTTGCTGAGTGTCTGGATCGCAGCGCCAGTGGTAGTGGCATCTCTGAGATTGGTGGGATAGTTTGGCTGCAATGTGCTATATGCGGAGTCTAGTTTCCCAATATCCTTCCGTATCTCATTGAGGAGGCAGAAAGTGAGGGTGTCAGTCGTAAGCTCTGCCAGCCTCAGATGAGTTCAAGGGAAAACCCATCTCTGTGCTGGGCATCAAGCCTGGGATAAGATGAACAAAATACCGTGGAGGAATTTGCGAATACGTCGAGCAAACCTTGGCGTACAGTTGCCGCATGGGTAGCGAGTGCCCCTCAGGATAATCAACAGGAGAATTCGAGGCAGTAGCGCTATCAAGGTTTATATTGTCTCTTCTGCAAATGTCAGCACTGACGTGGGCGGCCAGTCCACGAAAATGAAGAAGGGCGTAATGGTGATCACCGTGAATCTCGCGGAAACAAGACTTGCGTTTATCATATTCTTGAGATGGGAGACTATTGTAGCTGCATGTATGAGAGAAATCATCGGCAAGAAGCGCTTCATGTCCGCGAAAGACTCTGTTTATGAAATAGCTCTTGTCTTCGCCTGTCAGTTGATTGGACAGATCCTTCTCAGTGAACTCCATTGCCGGTAATCATCATGGTTCCTGACCAGTAACCTAAGGTCCGCATGGTTTTTTTTTATCATAGTCTGCAATTGCCCCGAGTCCACGTTGTCATTGTTCGTTTGCATCGTGTGGGAGTTGTGTAGAGTCAGATGCGGAGCAGAAAAGGCGAAGTCGTGTTTCTTATATATTTAAATATACTGACACTGGTGGGCAGCTGACTTGGAACTTTATGAACTCACTCCCAGATCTCTCTATGAGAAGAGCATTACAAGTCCCTGAAATCGATAAGATGGCAGATCTGTAATCACTGTTGGTCATCTCTTTTGCAATGAGACCCTGTCCTTCATGGGGAAATCCAGATATTGCTAGATCTGCTATTACCCGGGGATGCCATCTTATTCGGTATATCCTGCCAAGCATATGGGCGAAGCTGCTGTCCCGCTCTATGGATTCAATAGCGGAGCAAGCTGAAGCCGATGTTGCAATAGTGGCTGCGATATGTATGCCAAAGACGTTCCTGGCGACATGATCTGTCCTGCGACCCCACAGGTCATAATCTCGTTATCTGTCAATGGGCAAAGGTTATATTCAACATTGCGCCGGCGTTCCTTCCGAAAGTCCATGGCAATACACCCGATACCACTCTGCTTTGAGCCTTGGAATATTAGTTATGCGCCCGTTAAATTGGCATAATGGCTTACATGATACCAATGTTAAACGAAGAGGTCTGTGAAGCCGGATGCCTCCAGATTTGATGGGTTGAGTCTGACATGCTCTTGGTGCACCGAAATACCAACATGATGACTGTTTGCTTCTCATGAGCTTTGAACTGAGATAGAAGAGGGTAGATTTATCCGCATCCACGAGGACAGAGCTGGGGTTCATTGAGGAATCTCCGGACCTCATCCAGATGCCGAAGCTTCTGGAGGCCTCGGCCAATAGTTAATAAGCCTGCCACTCTATCCCCAAATTCTGGGACGAGCCATATGGGGGCCTGCCCGGAGGAGCGGCCTGGGCCTGGCCCATGTGTCGTGGACGAGTTAGCCCCTGAATGCTGTCAGGTCTATGGAGGTAGAGTCTCACTGCTGACTTCCGTTTGCATTCAGGGTTTGGTTCGTTCGGGAGAAATCCGTCATATGTTTCCATTGCAGGCATGGCAGTATCCGTCTGCGTCGTAGTACTAGGAGCCTCGACATCTTTGCTCGTGTCCCATTTTATGCCGTACTCTGATTGAAATCAACGATAAGTCGTAGTTCAATGTGTTAGGTCTGGGTGTATTTACCTTGGGGGCATCCTTGCGGTTACCTGCATATGTGATTGCTTGGATTCCTCCTTCAGCGGGAGAATTCTTGAGTTCGGCATCACCATTAAGTTCACCGTCTTCATTTAGTAATCCAGCCATGTACTGATCTTCAGCCGTGTCATCGGAAGTGTCGAAATCATTTCCATTGGCAGTTATTTCATAGTCGACATAGAGAAGCAAGGAACTATCGGTACGGGTTCCGTCGTTTTCGACAAGACTTCCACGCTGACAAACATACTGTCAATCATTAGCATATGGATGTATGGGTGAGTACTATTGTTCGCACCGTATCGCTATTGCTGTCCCGATCGATCGTAATACGAGAACCTGAAAGTTCCAGCATTCTCGTAGGTCGGATGCTTCGAGCATAGGACAACTTGGCTCAAGTGACTGAATTCCGTCTCCTATCAAGCTTGATCGCTTATGGTCAAAAGGAGCGGCTATCGAAGCGGTGTGAGGATTGATTAATATCCATGAGAATGGCCTACTACCTAATACTGAGGGTCCTAGGACAGCGACTTTCCAAAACAGCCTCGCATGCCCCCTTCGAGGAAGGCAGGTTCTCGAACAACTGACACATTTTAGATTCAGTACCTTAGCTTAACTATTTAGGTACCTAACTCTGTTAAATAGCAGTGCATACGTCGGTTATCTCAATAAGACCTTCTCAATCTAAAAGAGTCAGCCTGCCTAAGTCTAGGATAAACTTAGTGAGAATTATCCTAAGTTTACTCAAAGTTATCCTAAATTTACCTAACTCGTTTTATCATTCGGGGACCAGGGCCTTGAGCCTTCTACGTCACTGACCTACTTCTATATTTGGTCCATCAGAGTAAAAGCTACGGTGATACTGTCACTGTCAACTGACGACAGCCTGCGTCTTGAGTGGAATTATCTAAAGACTAGCAAAAAACTTGATGATTTATCTTGAAATGGCAAGTTGAATTAGCTATGTCTATCACGAAACTGGATCCCATTGGTAGTGGATATAAGAAACACGTAATTCTGACATTTGTGCCTCGGGTCGCCTCGCCAAATACTTATGGTACTACCCGTATATCTGTTGAGAACTTGCTTTCTTCAAGTGTGCTTGTATTAACATCTCATTTCAACTTAGCAAAATACGCCACCTCTGACTGATGCGCATCAACGCGTTCGAAAGTCGTTGACGGTCGTGTACACTATATCTCCCCCTTTTCCCATCCTCGTCCCGCTCTTATGACACCATTATACAACCCAAACTTGCAAGTAGCTCCTCAAATCTGTTGAAATAGTGGCCCATCTGTAACCAGTAATGAGGGTAGAGATAAGAGTACCCCAATGCCGTGAGAAAGCCGCGATCGCCTCAAAATGAATCTGGATAAACGCCCCGCATGGTAAGTAGCCTTCAATCGAAGCTCAGCAGGCTTTTCCCATCCCTGAGCGAGGTCTAACAACATTAAATTGTTCCAAAAACGCACGCAAGTATCCCAGCTTGCATATTCTTCATTTGGACGATGTCTGTAGAGCAAAACGAGGCTCTATCGTATGTTGCGACAAAGGATGTCCTTGGCCCGAGCCTCTCCCCTTGCCTGAGTCATTCCATTTGGTGCTCTGCAGATTGCACTCCATAGTCGCCAAATTTGGATACTGCCACCTGGTTGGCCAACAAGGGAAAGTCGTTCTTAAGCGGTTGGAGCCTCCTCTGTCCGTCTTGTTGCAGATTCAGTCCGACTAACGAGTCATCCGTTTGAACTCAAAGCCAATGTGCTTCATGGCTGGATGATCTGGTAAGTTATACCAGACCTGGAAAGTGACGGCGAGGATAAATTCATCCGTTCTCTTGTACAGCTCGTCGACTCGGACACGTCCTTCAGTCATTGGATGCATCTGGGCCCATGACTGAACGGTGCGTAATGCTTCCCAACCACCGTTGGCGATTTGAACTGACAGAACGACATCAGCCGTCTGTTCGCCCAATTCTTGGCAAGGAGCTGGTATCAGGTATAAGTTTCTATTTTGCCGTACGGGTTGCAATAACAGAGACGGTCCATGGTCTCGAGGGTGTCGAATGAAATGAGGCAGAGAATCCAGCTCCGTCTCCCAAGAATCGTTCAGGGTAAAACTCTTTGTTGCTAGACGGCTGTAGAGCTGTGATGTGGATAAGGCATGTCCGTTTCCATGAGCGCGCTTCAGTTCTCTTACAAGATTTCTACTGAAGCCCCGTTCGCAACCAAGACCATCGTCGCACTCGCCTGCCCCCGAAGCGTAGGCGTAGATCAATTCTTTGTCATGGCCTATGTAGCCGCCAATCTCAATAGGACAGCAGCAGTCTAGAAGAATCAAGAAGTTGACGTCCCAAGGATCTATCATATCATGTCTTAATGAAGGGAACACGAAGTTTTGACCGTCTCCTCCGTGGCCAATGTAGTGTAGGATAGCTATACAATCCTCGTCCATTCTGTTGAATAGAGCACTGAGCGCTGATGTCAATCTTGCTTGGGGGTTTTTGTCCTGTTTCCGGATCACGAGGCCGACGGTATCGTAACCGTAAGTGTTCTGGAAGACATCACGGACTTGCTCGCTGGTGCTTTCGACATTGGGGTGACTGTCCTTGTCTGCCTCGAAGTATACACACAGCACCCGTACTTTTTTGGGTTTGATCTCTGTTACGTCTTCTTGGCTGTATAAGAAACAGGCTTTGATGATGGCGGCGCTGAACTCCTCCGAAGTCATCGGCCTCGAGGGCATCGACTCAAGACCTGGAACGGCCATGGCTGGACTGAATGATGCAGGTGCTGATGAAAGAAAGGAGTAGTAAAAGGAAAGGAAGGGAAGACTCGATGCAAGATATCTTCTCACTTTAAGTTTTTGTTTGCCTTTCTCCTCATTTCAGGCAAAAACATATTCGCGATGCATGCTTCGCTACTTCGTTCAGCTGGGCGGAGACGGAGGATAAGGTTATGAGCATCGACTGAGTTTGTGCGACGAAGCTCTAAAAAAATCCCATCGAGATCGAGAGGTAGGGGATTGACGGCCTCCTACACACGGAGAATGGAGGTATAAGTGATTCCAACATGTATCCCGAAAGAATGGTTTATTCGGGGCTGGTGCATGATGCATCTTGCTTATCTTTATAAGAGTTATACGACAGCCGATAAAGATGCAACCCAATGACATGGCAGCTTATCGCCGGGGACAGGGGGCAGTGAACAAGGCAAACATACTCCAAGTAAGCGTAAGGCGCATCTCAAATAAGTTTCAGCGGATGCTAAAAAGTGCCAACATAAACCCTGCTTGGAAATAAGTATTAAAGAGAAAGCTTCACGATAGCTGAATACCAGTCCAGTCCAGTCCAGTCCAGTTTGAAACTCAACGATACAGGGTAACGCTCCTCATAGTGAGAGAAGGTCAAGCATGATGCGCAGCATATCAAATTGCTTAAAACTAAAACTGAAATATCATCCTCTTAGGTATATATCTGTCTTTCGTAACTTGGCGCATTATTTGTATATGTAGTTAAACAAACATCACTCTATCTTTATATCTTTGCCTTTGGGCTAGGTTTGGCCCGTCGCGCAGGCTGGCCTATATGTTTTTGAAATTCTTCCGAAACGGTCGTCTTCTCTTCTTTAGACTTGTTCGCCCACTCTTCAAACTGGCGCTCATCTGCCCACCACCTCTCGAGCTCAGCCTTGATCCAATCAGCCGCGGCACTTGCACACAAGCGCGGGTCTTCCATGGGAACCAAGTGGCCATTCTTCTCTCCGACAACCTTCTTGACACGGCCCTTCGCCTCGCCACCACTGCCACCAGTACCAGTTCCTGTGAGGGCCATCTTCTCGTCTATAAGTTCTGGTGGGGACACATCACTCTTGCCGCCGAAGACATAGAGGACGCTGGGCCGGACATTAGGGAGTCGTTCAACGGTATTGGGACCCTCGGGACGGTAGACGGGATATGTCGACCATCGACGATTGAGGCTAGCATCGAGATCGGGGGTATGTTCCGGGTGAATCAAATCCTTGCCCTCGGCATCATAGGCTGGCCAGCTTGGGCGTAGGAAGGTAAAGATCTCCTGATGCTTCGTTGTAGTTAAAGTCACGCTCTGTTCGCCAGGTACGTCCCTGATACCAAAGTCGATCCAACGCTGCAGCACGCGAGGGTCCCAGGACTTGTAAAATGGGCTGCGGCTAAAAGATGCCACCGCTTCATCGCGTGATGGCCAGACTTCGCGACGGTACATACTCGCTGCCGCGGGACCTGCGCTTCTGGCGCCAGGCGTGGAGGCGAAATGAGAGATGACAGGGTCGAGCAGAACAAGTGATGTAAAGACGCGAGGATGAAGAAGGGCAACGTTCGTGAGAGCATTTGCGCCAAAGGAGTGACCCATTGCCATTATCGGCGGTGGAGGGCGGAATGTGTTTATCATGTGAAGGATGTCCCGGGCATAGTCGAGCCAGCTTGCTGAGAAGTTGTTAGCATTGCCAGGTGTTATGAGAGAGTGTGAATCTTACGATCATTACCAAGTGCGTCTTGGTTTATGAGACCGCTTTTGCCTTGCCATGCTGTGTCTGCTATCCAGATACTTCGAATTCGGATACCTCGGCGTTTTGATTCATGATAGAACTCCTCCCAAAGGGGCTCATATAGTTCCTATACAGATCAGTAAATGTGTCTGTATGAGTATTGATGGGCTTACCTTGGGAAAACCATTAGCATGTCCTCCTATGATAGTCACATCGCCTTTTTGAGGGTTCTGGTTATCTTTGGGTGTGTATTGCTTGACGTGAAGGTACAGCTTCTCATCTTGAGAATGAGCTGTAGCGCGGGCGTATTCTCGAATATGTGATGCTTCAATTGTATGCTCTTGAATGGCGAACGGAAAGGACGACATTGTGGCGAATTTTCGGCACCTCAGCTGACACGTTCAATTATAAGTTCTAGTAGGTAAAGTGAAGCTGTATCGGGGCTGCAATTGGAGAGCTGAAGTTAAATACAGGCCCACGAAACGAGGTTGAATAACGAGCCGGCCTCGGTAACGTCTGTGGGGCGCACGGGAGTTGTGGGGGTGGGGGATACCTCGGTACCTGCGGCCGGGAAGTGGTCGCCGCCGATCTCTCTTTAGCATCACATCACATCACCCGCCGCCAACACCAAAACCGTCATCGTGAATTTTGGCTTATCTCATCAAGAGCCCACCGCAGTTGCTACCCCGGGGCAGCATAGCCTCTTGGCATTATCATGAGAAGTTCGAAATAGTGTTCCAATCTAGCTACAGGCGGTCAATACCATGGCACCACGACTACTCCTTTTCGCTGGCGCACCGCCCGCCTCATCTCTCACAGCACAAACATGTACAATAACACAAATCGACAACTCCTTCGCTGAGTTTCTTGGGCTAGCTCCTCAAGGAACAGCTCCAGTATCGTCTCCAAGTCTCGCTCCGTGGCGTTCTCTGCCGCTGAACAGAAAACCGCTTCACACAGGGTTCAGCCAGACCCATAATATCAGCATCAACCTCGCCAACCAATCCGAATTCTTCACCACGGCTGAGATCTCCTTTAAGGAACAATCTCAGTCCTTTGATGGCGAGGACCCAGAGAATGTGTTGTCGCAGTTCTATGACCATTCCCTGGCTTTACACAATTCGATACCATCATCACAGCTTGAGAGTTTCGAAGAGACGACATTTGAGGAGACATCGTTTATCACGACTTCTTCGACCGCACATCTGGATATGAGAGACACTGTTCCTTCTCATCTCTCTGATTTGGAAGATATACCGCCGGCTCGGAGAATTTTGGCTCTCAATCCCCAGACTGTCACCCTCAATATTATTGCCGGCATTATATCCATCGCACAGCCACGAACTGTCACAACCCGCTGGGGTCGCAGCCTCTCTTTAGTGGAGATTCTCCTCGGCGACGATACAAAGACAGGCTTCGCTGTGACGTTTTGGCTTGCAGAGGAGAACAATGCAGCTGCTGAGATCAGTGCCCTTCGACGTCAGGACGTAGTACTCATGCAAAACGTGGCACTTCACGTCTTCAAGGACAAAGTCTATGGCCAGAGTCTCCGCAGGGGCATGACGAAAGTGCGTCTGTTATGGAGAAGGGATGGATCCGGGCTTTATTCGACGCGAGAGCTATCCAAGCGCGGCCAGATGCACCCGCAGTTACGAAAGGCGAAGCAGGTAAAAGACTGGGTGCTCAAATTCGTAGGAGCTGATGTTGGAGTAAAAACAAGAGCTAGGAAAACACGGGTTTCATGGGACAGACCTCCAGATGACACACAATGAGGAGTCTTCGTACTGTAAGACCACTTTTATTAACCTTCTATCATATTAGACACTTATTACTACCAGCGCCAAATGCAACCGAGAGAAGAGAGACATCCGAGGGTATCTATGCAAAATTCCAATCGTCAAATTACGCTTCGATCCCACAATCCATTCAGACAGGCACGGCAGGCTCGGCCTTTCTGTCCTCACCGTCTGGACCCTTCTTGACAGACTTCCATCGGAAGCACAGGCAAGCAATCAGGGCGCAGGCGGCACAAGCAAGAGAGGTGTAAAAGGTGTCTCGGAGACCCTTCATGTACGCATTGAGGACAGCGTCGAGCGCATCAAGGCGGCCCATCTTTCTCAGAGTATCCTCAATCTCTGAAGCTCCAGTGTTGATGAAGATTGTCGGGTCGATTCCAATGTTATCAGCCTTCAGTGTGTCAATGAGACCATTCTGGAAGACAGTTTGGCCCACTGCCACGAAGATAGCGCCTCCGAAGGCTTGGCCGAACTGAACAACAGCGGTGCCAACAGGAACCCATTCCTGTGGCAAGACAGTTTGAATGATGAGAACACCGATTTGGAAACCTGCACCAATGCCCAGGCCAGCAATGACTTGGTAGCCAAACCACTCCTTGAGAGGGGAATGCACATCGAGGGTTGTGAGCATGCCACATCCGACAGTGTAGAGAACCATGCAGGGAATGATGACATAGCTGTAGTAGCCAATGGCGGTGATGATACCTCCAGAGACGATAGAGCAGAGGACAGTCGCGAGCAGGAGAGGGAGAATTTTGATTCCAGCCTGGACGGCGCTAACACCCTGGATGGCCTGGAAGTAAAGAGCTGAGAAACGTTAGTTGGGCAGACAGTAGAGGTAGGGTGAGACTCACAGAGATAGTAGATGAGAGGGAAGAAACCGGCACCAAAGAACATGGCGAAGATGATAGCGGACAAAGTGTCCCGGTTCTTGAATAGACGAGGCGGGAGGGTTCCCTCATCACCCTTCCAGAATTGGATACCAATAAAGATGGCAATCATGGCTCCAAAGCCACAGAAGAGACCGATGATACGCGAGTTGTTCCAGGGATATTCAGCACCACCCCATTGCAAAGCAAGGAGCAAGCAGACAATGGCAGGGATGAAAATGGCGGCGCCAGCAAGGTCGAGCTTGCGAATGCGACTCATGAAGGTCATGTTGATGGTGTTCGTGTCGTTGCGGTTAACCTTGACAAAGAAGAAGACAATGAGCATGGCCAAGCCGCCAATGGGAAGGTTGATGTAGAAACACCAGCGCCAGGTTGCATGTTCAGTAAAGGCACCTCCAAGAAGAGGACCAGCGACGGAAGCGATACCCCACATGCCACCGATAAGACCAAAGGCAAGAGGACGCTTTTCAAGAGGCACTGAAGCTGTGGTTAGTTATGGTCACGGAGCTAGTTTGCTAGTCTTGACGTACTGATGAGGGACAGGATAACGATGGATCCGG